CCATCTTATCACTCCGACACAAGTGGGCTGCCATATTACCTCCTTGGTGGTTCTGTCTATCCTATTCTGTGCCGTTTCTGGCATTGGTTAGACTAGATGTCGTTCCGTAGTATAGTTCGAGATGTGCGGGATAGTTTTGGGAGCTTGTCAAGGCGTAGTTTCGAAGTGAGACTTTCAAGTCTTTCTGGGCATCTCCGGGGTAAATCTCAAGTGTTTGTGCCTGAGCCACATGACACACCTCCAGTTATCCAGTCAAGTCGCTGGGCTAGCCTTCCACCTGAGCTACTTCGGGATGTGATTAAAAGATTGGAAGCAAGTGAAGGTACCTGGCCATCTCGTAAGGATGTTGTCGCCTGTGCAGCTGTGTGCAGAGCTTGGAGGGAAATGTGCAAAGAGATAGTAAGAAGTCCCGAGTTTTGTGGGAAGCTCACTTTTCCAATATCATTGAAACAGGTAGATCTTTGTTTTACCACTTTACAAGAAAGATATTTGCCTTTTTATCTTGTAACAGAGATTATGCACCATCATATTTTCTTAAGCAAACTATACGTTAATATCATGTAGCAGAGATGACAAGCCATCTTGTTTTAAGTGAGCAATATGTGGCATTGGGGGGTTTAGATGACACTTATTTATTTGATGTTTGATGTTTCTTTTTTTTTTCTTCTTTTACAGCCTGGAACCCGAGATGGAATGATTCAATGTTTCATCAAGAGGGACAAGTCGAAATTAACTTATCATCTATATCTATGTCTTAGCCCTGGTAAGTTTGTGCCTGATTGATCAATTTTCTGTATGTCTATATTTTCTATCTTGTAATCTATTTTTTAAAAGATTAATGGAATGCTTGAACATCGGCACATCGAACTTGTTGACTAGCCAGGAGATGTGTTAATCGGATTCTTAAGTGTCTATGTTTATGCCAAAATAAAAAAATACATATTCTATCTGGCATACCCGGAGTCCCTCACCGTCCACACTTACTGTGTAGGAGTAGTGTAGATTGAAAAGTTAACAAAAGCTTTGAAAGAAGTTAACAATCATTTTTTTAGCATAGTTACATTATAATCAGCTACAGTTAGGGCCTAAACAGATGTGACACATCATTGCTGATCAAATTTGGGCTTTGGTCTCAAGTCATAGCGGTTGCCGACAGAGCTGTTGCTATCTGTTCCTTTTCTTCCAGTAGAAGTCAAGTAGCAGTAGTTATGTCCTGTTTTGACAATATTGGAATAACCTGCAGAGATCAGAGGCAGTTATTATATTGGAAATAAATAATTTCTTTGATCGAAAAGCAATTCTTTCACTCTGTGTTCTTTTGTCCTACTGGCTCGTTCGTTTGCTTGTGCATTGACATGCGTATAACTTATACAAAACAATTCATTTATCATGCATCATGTGGTTTCACTCCCTAGTTGTATAGTTTAACTATAGTCAATCTTTCTACGGTCAACTTGCTTGTAAATTCCTCTCTTGTTAAAACTTCGTTTGGTCATGAGAAACTTGTCATCAAGTATTGTAGAATGATGTCAGGTTGGTAATTATTGTAAACTTTTGTCAAATTAACTTAAAAGGCCTTGTGCTATGTTGATTCTTGTATTTGGGTGATTCTTTTAGAGCTTCTTTTCTTTTTTTCTACGCCAAAAGCAGAAAGTTCTACTTGGTGTAAGAATCTTTGCAGAAACCAATCTGAGAATTCTTCAATTCTTCAATTCTTGTTTTTTTAATCTGAATATGGGGATTGCAGATTCCTGTTCCATCACTCTTCCTGATATTCCATGTCCCTTCTGTTCCTTTCTGTGGAGTATCAGATTGTTGCATGCACATATGATAAGTTTGATGTTTGTTAATAATGCTCATGTCTAATCTGCATCTTGTAGCTGTGCTGGTTGAGAATGGGAAGTTCCTTCTATCAGCTAAAAGGATCCGTAGGACAGCTTGTACTGAATATGTTATCTCAATGGATGCCAATAACATATCACGATCGACCAACACGTACATTGGGAAGTTGAGGTATTGGAATTTATTTCCTAGACTGTGGCAGTGCTGGCAAATCTCAATTTAGATGCTTCCCTTTTACATTGTAGGTCAAATTTTCTTGGTACAAAGTTCATAATTTATGACACACAGCCTCCATATAATGGGGCTGCCATCTGCCCGCCTGGACGAACAAGCCGCAGATTTTACTCCAAGAAAGTGTCTCCTAAAGTCCCATCGGGCAGCTACAGCATAGCTCAGGTGACATATGAGCTGAATGTCCTTGGCACCAGAGGACCACGTCGAATGCATTGCGTTATGCACTCTATTCCTGCCTCAGCCCTTGAGCCTGGTGGCACAGTTCCTGGCCAGCCTGACAGCCTTGTTTCACGCTCCCTGGAGGAGTCCTTCCGCAGCATGTCCTTCTCCAAGTCCATCATGGATCGTTCCATGGACTTCAGCAGCTCTCGCTTCTCTGATATCATAGGAGGAACTCAAGAGGGGGATGAAGGCGGAGAGGCCAAGGAGAGACCACTGGTTCTCAGGAACAAACCCCCCAGGTGGCATGAGCAGCTGCAGTGCTGGTGCCTAAATTTTCGTGGTCGGGTCACTGTTGCCTCAGTGAAGAACTTCCAGCTCATCGCTGCATCACAGCCTGCCGCCGGGGCACCTACACCATCTCAGCCAGCACCATCCGAGCATGATAAGATTATACTGCAGTTTGGCAAGGTTGCAAAGGATATGTTCACGATGGATTATCGCTACCCACTCTCGGCGTTCCAGGCATTCGCAATCTGTTTGAGTAGCTTCGACACCAAGCTGGCTTGTGAATAGAACAATGAGAATAGATAACATCTACATCATGGTCACTCTGTTATCGATTCCTCATGGCTGTTGATGCACTAGTTGTGACCTGCAACCCATTTCTTGGAGCACTAACCTGCTTCCTGATCAGTCCCAAGCTTCTCCAGCCGCTCTGCATGAAGCAGTGAACTGATAACTCCACCAGATTCTTCATGTTTGTGTAGAATTCTGTCTAGATCAAGGCTTTGTTTAGTAGGCACAACATTGACTCTTTATGGAGAGATCGGTTGGTACTATTTTTCTTCCTTCTGTCTTGATCTCCCTCATGAATCCATTGACTTTTTATTCTTCTTCCATCTGCTTTCTGTAAAGGAGTTCCCCCTGTGGGCCTGAGCACAGTCCATGAGCTGCTTTTGTTTTACAATTTTATCTCCTTTTCCAAAGTGGTACTCTACCATGGAGGAGATGTTGGGTTTGTTCTGGCAGATCACACTTGCAGCAGGAGTAGATTCCATGCTGTCTTGGATGAAGAGTAAGACATGTTTGAATTGTAGGCTTTTCATACAGCTGGGGGAATAAAAGCAAAAGAAACAACAAAGTCTTGTGACCAAAACAGACAGAAGCCAAGGAGAACAGCTGGTAGGCACTAAGCTCCTGGCCCATCTTGATCTCACCTACTAATGGATGAAACCACTATTCATGTAGTGACAGCCTAGCTGGGATGGTTGTGCTATTTATTAGCAGGGAAAAGGTGCAGAGGTTGATGGCCTCTGTCACATTCAAGATCACCATTTTGCCATGCTCTTAAGTACAAAAGGGGAGCAGTAGTTTCAAGCATCAACTACACTGGTTTGCTATGTTTAAACCATTGCCTACAATGGTCAGATTTAATTTAATGGGAGTAAACTTATCAATTTTTAAAACTAATTCAAGTTGTTTTTCACTTTATGTGTAAGACTAAATCAGGATTTTATAATCTCTATCGTCATCGATAATCAATATAATTTAGACTTAAATCCTAATATGATATGTGATCCAATCCAGTAATGACTCTCATGTGTTTTAGTCCTCTCTATATGTAATCCTTTCCTATTTGAACTCCTTTAAATATTCAGTTATAGGCTTGTTCTACTATCATTTGTTATATATAGATGATCCAATAGAATAAAATAAAATAATTGATTAAATTATTATTATTATTTCTAAATCACTAGTCCATAGTTTTTAGGCTCCGGTTAATGATGATATATATGGAAGTTGATTTTTATATTTTCTTAATAATTTTTCATATATGTTAGCATAGAATATAGTAAAAAATCAAACCATAACACGATGCACGTAAAACCCAACCAATGAGACTTCACTATCCATAGTTATATTGGACTACTCACCATAGTTATACTACATAAGCTCTAATAATATTTGTTATGATCTAACTCGATGAGATACTTATCGAATGTAGAATCTAAACCATTAACCAAAAAATATTCAACGTAAATTTACGATAATATACCCATCATATTTCGTAAATTAATTTAAGTTCTTATTTATTTTTGATGCATGTATATACGTGAGGTCTTACACTGTCTTTTTTTAATGGATATTATAATGATTGATGATAGTCGCTATTAGATAATGTTCATTATTAGAGATAATTAATACTATAAACAATAAAAAAATTGAATACTCATAAACCATATGCAAATAAAAAATCCATATGATTAACCCCAAATATATTAACTATATTATTTTTAAAAGGTAGATTAAGGTTGAAATAGATGACATGTAAATAAATTCCCCTTAGTATCTTTATGTGAGGAAAATTGGGCACACATTGCCTTTTTATCCTAAGATTAGTATCTTTATATGAAGAAAACGTTGCGAACAGAAAGAAAAATAAAATCTCAACTCAAAAATGTTTTCTTTCTTTCTTTTTTGATTCGCAAATCAAACGGTTAAAAAAAGGCGATCAGATCTGATGGATGGTGGAAATGATTGTCTCGGTGATTAGTTTAGGATTAGGGGATGCTCGCGATCTCAATCTCTAATTGAGTCCAATCTAAACGGAATCGGACCCAACGGTTCGCTTATTCAACGTTGCGGGCTTCCGACTCGGGTCCGACTCAACCTCTTTCAGTGTCGCCATCATGCGCATGGCACGTGACTGATTCCAGGCTATATAAGGCAGGTGGATAGATGGCACTCCGCGGCTCATTTGGTTCGCCCGCGCCGGAGGAGAGGGGAAGACAAACTCGGGGAATGTTGGAAGCGAGGAGCTTGCGGAAGGCGGTCGTCCCGGCCTCGCTATTCCGAGACCCGTCGCCGGGGAACATCCAATCCACTCGCCTCGCTCTCAATGTACGTAAAATACGGGAAGCCCTAATTCTCTCGCCTTCCCTCCCATCCTGGTTTCCGTTTCGTCTTCGTGAAGTGTCGTTCCTGTGCTATTTAGGTCAATGATGGCGGCTCTTCTTGCTCCGTATACATCGCTTCCGGTTGCCGCGTCTACAAGATCGAGGTATCATGTGTTGTTGCTTGTACGGATGACCCCGAGTTCTGGTCTCGATGGATCATTTTTGTAATGGAGTAAATTCCTTTTGGTGTCTCTTGGCTTGTTCAGTATGCCTATGCTGCTGCATAGACAGAATTCATTGCTTATGTCTTAGTGTGAGCGTTCAAGCTTGCTATGATTATGGACTTCTTCTTTTGCCAAATTTCTTGCAAATTTGATTGGTTCGTTTAGTTTTTCTTTTGGTTGTTCAGGCTTGGAATTGTTTTGAAAATCCATTTCAATGAGCGCTTGCCTTTTCTTTTTATTTTTTTTTCTTTTAGATTGGCTGGGATAAGAGCACTGTTTCATTTCCTTGGTCAAGTGTTTTGCTGTTGTTCGCCGAATGTCAAGTTATATTGGTTGATGAATTCTTTTAAGAAGTGTGAGAGACATCTACTCATGTGATCATCTATCAACAGAATAGTTATGCATAACATTTCTATCATCTAAATTAAAGGACATGATACTCTGGGCTGAAGAGATGCTTGGCAAGTTATTAGACACTGGTTAAGTTAGAAGCTCAGAAATTATTTGATGGGCTACCCAAAAGCTTTGATGCACTTGATATAAGAGCTTTATTTTATATGCAATTTCAAGTTATGTACGGTTCAGTTGTTATCTTGTTTTATTGCATATGCCCTTTCAGATTAAGTAGTCTTCAGTTTGCTACCTTGTTATGATCACAGCAGATAGATACATAAAATACTCGCTTGTGTAGGAGAGGGTTGCACAAAGCTGTGGTTGTTGAAGCCTTGGAGGGGTTTGTTTTTAAGAGTTAACCTAATCACTGTCAGATTCTGAGCAATAAGCAATTTCTACATGAATTTAAAACATCGTGTGGGCTGGAGTACTAATTTCAAATGGGCAAGAAAAGTATGCTAAAAAGATTTGGGAAATGTATTAATGTGTAACTACCTAAATATAGATAATGTTCACATAATCATTTTTTTTACTAATGCAATTTTTTTCCTGTAAAAATTGACAAGCATATACACCTTTGATAGCTTTCTTTTTTCTAGATATCCATGGAAGATTCTGTAATTACTAAAGGAAAAGAAAGCCTTATAATTCCTGTCAATGCAGAGGTATGGTCTATATCTAATGTTGAAATGCCAAATAATCCTTGAAAAGTTTGTTTTATCTGGTTTAAATTTTGGTTCATTATCTATAAAATAGGTCATACACTCATCTGCGGTTGACCGCTGTCCTCATCGTTCAGAGATTCAAAGTTTAGTCCTTACTGAAGGAGGTCAGTTCTCATGTCTTATCACCCCTGCTATCTATTTCTTGAAGTCCACATTATAGCTTTATCTATCAAGTCTAGATGGCTGTTGATACATAATTCTTATCTATCAGCAGCAAATATAAAATGATAATACAAGTGGTTCAGTAGACAATGATCCTATAAACTGCTTTGGTGTTTACCAGTTACCTAGAAAGCCTTAAGTGACAAACTTTTTTTTGCCATTTGTATGCACTTATCCGTGATCAATGGATTCTTTTGGGGTGTAATATGTGTGATAGTTTCATTTAGTGATTCGGACTGAATTAAACATCCAATGATAGAACCTTTTCTGTGGTAGCAACTTGGTAATCATATTTTACTATTCACATATTCATTAAATAAGCTCTTTTAAAGGTGTTCTTGGACTTGACCTTTGGTGAGTTGTTGGATGATATGATACACTACTTTCTTTTTTGACCTAGCAGATGCTTTGTCTTGTGTAAGGAATATAGTTTCCTTCAATAGTTTTTGGTTTTTTTTTTCATTTTTAATAAGCCAATTGGCTCAGTTTCTTTAGTGTCTGCCATTTTGTATTCACCGTGTCTGCATATTTAATATATATTAAATATTTTAAGACCAGGAGGGGTACATGGTTGACGTAGACTTTCTCCCTTGTGGTGTGAATGAATTGCATATGCCTTTGTTTTTCCTCAAATATCCTTATCGTATTGATTCATTTTCAAATGCTGGCCCAAAGTTAGGAACTACTACTTGGTTTAATTCATGTAGACACCATGTGTCATCTGCACCATGTTTCACTACAAAACATTATAATCAACTTCTGATGGACACCAGAATCTTCATGTGTAGGTTCTGATGTGGAACCCACATGGTGGTCACATAACATCCAGGTTGTGTAGAAACCACATGTCATATAGTGTCAGAAAATGCAGCCCGGAGTGGGATCTACAGTACTCCCCTAGTCGGATTATAGTGGTCCACATGAATGCAAATCTGATCCCTTGGTAAACCCCGCAAGTGAGGATCTTAACTGCCTTGACTTCTAAAGGAAGTAAAGAAGGACGAAGCCCATATATTATACAATAAGGATTGCCTCTCCTATGTAAGAAGTGGATGGCGTTGAGGAATTGAACAGTGAACCTGTGAATTTTTTTACAAATGATGATTTCGTTTCTAGAAACTGGATGAGTATTTTTTTTTCTATAATCTTATTCTTTCCTTGATAGTTTTTAATTCTCCATCCCTTTTGCTCATTCAACTGTAAAAAATGACTTGAATGCCATTCCATGGAAGATTAACAATATTACCAAGTCCCAGAATGGCAGACACTGCTTTATTATAAAGATGGGTATTCCCCATGAGCTCCAGAGACATCCCTGTGAATATAAGTTTCCATATCATATCAGATTTGCTTTTTGAGTAAGAGTTTAATTGATCGTGCATGAAAAATTATACCGGAACATGTCACATGCACGATTAAATTTATTTCTTTTCATTGTCCTTTTTACAAATTCAAAATGATGTGATTAACAAAGATTTTCCATACTACTCTTTTCATCTTTTTCCATTAGTGCTTTTGCATCCTTAAGTTCAACCTTTCTGATACACATATGCTATGATATATTCATTATAGAGCTTGTGGTAGATTATATTTGATATGCCATATTGTTGCAGGTGATAACTGCTTGATTATGGGCACAGTGGACTGTTATGGGCACCTTATTGTATCCCAGTTGGATCCGGTTGGTTCAGGTACCACTATATCTTATCCAATGTTGTTGTTGTTTATACTTGCATGGTAAATTAGCTGTGGGCATTTAACTCTTTTGGTTTTATGCTAAGCTGGAAAGATATGGCCTCAAAATAAGAATTGGCAACTTAATATGGCAGATCCAAATATTTTATTTTCTTCCTATAATGATGCTTTACTATGCATAGCTGTTAATTAAAACTTCTATGGCAATAACATGAAGAAACTAATATTAACCCACTAGCACTGTACTTGATCAGTCATCGACAGGCTTTCTTATTCGGTGTTGCCTCGAGATTGCGGTATAGGAGAGGGGAGCTGGGCTGGTATCTGCTTTAGTCCAGCACACTGGTCTACAGTATAATATCTTTTCCTGATTATAACCCCCTGTTCAATTTTTGTGATATCTTTCAAAATTTACATGTCGCTTTTTGCATTCAAGATCACATTATCACTTTAAAATCATACTTTATCCTGTCACCAGAGCACAATTTTTGTGTCTCACAGACCCTCGAGTCTGAAAAAGCAGTTAAATATTGTTAATTTGGAACAAATTTATTTGAACAGAAGGGATTCAGAGCATATACGAGCTTCTTTTCTCCAATACCATTGTAATTATACATCATAATGACTCAGATTGCTTACTATGCGAGAATATTCCAACTTCTCTAGGACTTTGTCTCATCTCATATTAGCACACTGCCAAACACATGCAAGGGTCCATAGTGGCCTTCTTCCACATTGCTTCTCCTTGCAGATTCCCTGTTCTTCCATTCATAATTTTTTTTTATAGCCATATTGAGAAAATTTGCAATGAAGCATGTCTGACCGTTATTCACTGACATGGTGGTTAATTATCTGATAGCTTGTTATATTTGAATCTTTGTATAGATTCATGGGAACTCAAGTTTTTTTTTCTATTTGTATAAAGGTTGAATTTATTTGGTTTTGGGTTTTCTTTATTCTCCCCTAGTTGTAAATGCATATTTTCTTTGGGCAGACAAGCAATGCAAAAATAACTGTATTGTCTTTTATGCATTTAAATTTTCATCGAGATTCACATCTGAAACGTAATGCTTTCTTATCCAAATTATTTTGGAAATTCTACAATTATTGACATATACTCCTAGGCATGCAACTTTCATATATGGAGAAATGTTTGCCTTTCTCTTATATTATCATAGTATATGATTCACAGGAGTATTGTTGGTCGAAAAAGGTTATGGTTATGAATGTTATTTTGATATAATATCAAATATTCTTAATTTTATGCCAAATATTAATTATTTCAGGTAGCAGTCGCCCGCAGCTTCTGCAAAAGTATCGATGTTTATGACCAAGATATCCACATTAAGAGTTTACAAACGTATGTGTGTTTGATGTGAAATCTAGATTAAAATTCCTCCTTTCAGTTCTCAATTTTGCAAGTTATCATTTTCTATGTAAAATTCTGCTTGTAATGTCTGAATAATTGATCTTGCACTAGCGGTGATAGTTATACTTCCATGTATATTTCAGTTCAAATTATGTGTTCAACACTTCCTCGTCCACTGAAATTTCTTGAGCGATAATTTGATTATAAATTGTGCTGTGTGAGTCTTCATAAATATATTCATCAAAATCCTTTGTCTACATTTAGCAAAACCATGCACCAATGTGGTCATGTGTGCTCACAGTTGTCTAGGTTCTGGAATTTGTGATACATAAAACATATCTTATATGAAACAACTATCTTGTATGATCTCCGTGTTCTCTATTTAAGCTCCATGTGTAAGAAGTTAAGCTACTAGAGTTTTGGTTACTTGAATAAGGATGAATATGATTTTTTTTAAGTAATTAAAGAAAGATAAGAATATAGTAGTTGAAACAAATTATAAATGGAACCGATGTCATTGGTATACACTTAGAATATATGAGATTTGGGGAGTTAGACATTTATTATTATTTTTTGTAAATTTCTTAGTGTCAAATTGAACTGAGTATCCTTGTTAAACTGGGACACTTAGCTGTTTTGTAGAACCATATGGTCCTGATGTTTGTGTTTTCATCATGGAGAATATACTTGCATGTTCCCTTGATGAACTGGTATATTTCAGTAAGAATCTAAAGTATGGGAATATGGTGGCAGTTTGGAAATTTTGTAAGACTGAGGAGGGCATTTGATGTTTTAGGAAATCTAGGTGGAAATTTTAAAGGAACATTCAAAAAGGATTTCTTTGAGATTGAAATCATCTTTGAACAAAAATGAAGTTCAACCTCCAGTATCCACTGGAGCAGTTGGCACAAGACACTATAAACATGATCATGTACTTCAGCAAGTTTATGGTTCATAAACATTTTAAAGCAATCTGGGATGGTCTATTGGGATTACTGGTGATTCTTTTTGGTAGGCAAGCGATATTATAAATGTGCTTGCTAGGCTGCTGTGGGCTGTCCTTCATGGACTGGTATGCTGTAGCTGGCTTGCAGCAGCTGCCGACCTGCCTGCTGCGGATTTTCTGGCTATTATGTTCAGATGATTTGAATAACATGATAGGAGTTGATCCTATAAGCAGATTATAGAAAAGTATACAAAATATTTCAGGTAAATGTAAGAACAAACTAGGATTATCAAGAACATAAGTACTGCAGGAAATAGTATATCAGAAGAAGCTAAAAGAGGATCACAGTCGTCCCAGCTTTGATGAAAAGTTCAGAGAAGAGGGGATTATTGGAGATGTGATTGAATCCTAGTATTATCAAGAACGGAAGTGCTGAAGCTAAAAGAGGATCACAGTAGTTCCCAGCTTTAATGAAAAGTTCAGAGAAGAGGGGATTATTGGAGATGTGATTGAATCCTACATTGGAACAAAAATCCATTCTTATTAAAAATCTAAGTCAAGTAAGAGACACTTTATTATTGTTTATCGTGTTTAAAAAATATTGGTCATTAGAATTTTCTTATATGCATAATTAGAATCTTTTCTGAATGCAAAAAATCAAAATCTCTCATGTGGCCAAATTCAGTTGCTGTAGCATATTCAACCAGTAGGTGGTATTTGGCGGCATATGTGGATGTTTTCATATGTCATCTTGCAGAGATACATTTAGTCTCAATATGTTACTACGGTAAGTATCTCTAGTAAAAGCATTGTTGTGTACGTTGTGGATGTCTCTTCTTGTTACTGTTATATCTCTATTTACTACTTAAGCATGAAAATACAGTACTTTAATAATTGCTTGTTAAGTACGAAAAATCAGTTGATATATGATATATGTTTTATGTTTCCTCTTGATCACCACTGTTTTTTGACTTAATTTGTTGAGTGTTTATGACACTACTCATTTGATCACTTGGATGCACCAACTTTTTTGCTTATTAATAAAAGAGCTTCTTAAATGGGTAGATCTTTGTCATAAATGCCTGATTTGGCTGTAGCCTATTAATTGCATAAAAATGAATTATTTTTTGTTGGTTGTATTTCGTCACATATTATTCGAAGTACTTCACATATTGTCGTAGTTGCTCTTGGGTTGCTCCTTTGTATCCTGGATATCAAGGTTCAAAAATAATATATTTAAATATTTAAAGGTAAGACTATATACATGGACCCTCCCCAGACCTCATATTAGCAGGAGCCTCGTGCATTAGGTACATCCTTTTTTCACTTTCCTATAAAGTTATGAACTGTACATGTGGCTGCATACCAAATATGTATTGTGCAGTACCTTGATCACACATCACACATCTACCTTCTGGAACATTGATAATACCGGTGCTTAGTATGAACTTTGGCAATCATTGGAGATAAAAAGGCATCCTAGAAAGGGGGTTTTCCTTTTTATGTATGTAATAACCACAAAATCTACCTTATTCCCATTTGAATCTGATTTATCCCTTGGGCATATTTCACATCAAGGACTAGATTAAAATGCCTTAATGTGTTGCCTATCTTACTCTAATCATTGTAATTAGCAATGCTGTCTGGATCCCAAACAAGAATGATGAATTTGTTAATAAGGTTGTATGGTCGTTTCTAATTGCTTATCTTTTAATTGACTTTTAGATTGTGGTACCCGGCTTCATTAAGTTTTTTTGATAATCCACATTATGAGGGGCACTCCTCTGTACTAGCTGTTGCTGAAGGCTCTCAGGTTACGTTTGTCTGTCTATGTTATATTTATAATTTTATGCACTTTTACTCGATAATTGCCTTCATTGTGCTGTAATTCCAGCTGACCATATGGGACTTGAGAACAAATCAAAATGGTGGATGTGTACAACGTGTATGTGGTTCCATTGGAGATCTCATATATTCCCTGTGTAGTTCACCATCTGGAACAATTGCTGTTGGTGGATCTGATCGTACTGTTACCATTTATGATCCTCGCAGGTTGGTGATTAGGTTCCCCTTTGTAGGTAGCACTTCCAAAATTTGATGTGAATGATATCCTTTTATATTAGTATTTTTCAGCAATTGACTATTTTCTTGTGTTACATTTTTGCTGCCTTTGGATCTTTGTTCACACCAAAACTGACTTTTAATGTCCCTTCCTGACTTAGGTGGTCGGCCATATCAAGATGGGTGAACTGCTCAAAGTATGAGGTTTGTATCTTAGTAATATTTTAGATATATTTGAAAAAGCAAGGCAGCTTTGTGTTTCTTAATCTCCTAGTATTTTTAGTGTTTCTGTTTTCAATTAGAAAAAGGATAAGAAGATGTTTTTTCCTTCTTTCCAAATGCAGATAACAGGTCTCTATTTCTCAACAATTGACTCAGATTACATCTACATCCAAGGTGTTGATTATGAGGTGATCCTTGAATATTGATGATGATGGAACTCTTTGTATTGTTCTTTTAAATCATACTTCATTGGCATTATTGAGTTAAAAGACCCAAAACTATCGATTAACAAAACATGCCTATACCACTTGTGTTGTTCATTCTCTGTGCGTGTGTGTATTTGACATGCTATGACTCTTTACAAAATGGATATCCTTCACAATTTTTAACCAACACGAGCACAGCATGTATGGTGCCAATCTGAGTTGAACTGGCCTATAATATATATTAGTAATTATAATAACATCTTCCTCATCAAACATGTCTGGATCTGTCGAACCTTTATCCACAAGAAAAGCACTTCATTTTCTGCATTTATTTAGCTTAGCTACAAAATAATTTTGTTGCTTTCTGGAATCAATGGTGTGAAGCTTGTACGTTATGCTTTTCACTTTTCATTTGCTTTGATCATGCTTCATAGCAGTCCACAGGGATATTGACCGGTCTGATATCAGAAATGTTAGTCTCTATGTACTTCTTTTGGTATCATTTTCTTCATAAATCATCATGAAGTTCCTGGGGTATTGACCACTCTGATCAGGCACAAATCTGAGTGTTTTATGCATTCAAGCCCCTCATTGCATGCCTTTTGATTTGAATGCTTTGCTTCCAAGATGATCTTTTTTTCTTTCTTTAAATGTGAAGTAGTTTGAACACAACGATGACCTAACAAAGCTTCCAAACATGGTTGGATCAAAGCTTTTTAGAGAAAAAATGAGAGAAACATTAACAAATTGAATCCGAATCAATTCTGGTAACTTAGAAGGTGTAGTGGACTAGGGCGAATCGGGAAAACCCTATATCTTTAGCTCAAGTTTTCAAAATTGCAGGTTATCTGTGGAACATGGAAAGAAGGTAGAAAAGCATTCTCCTTTAGGGGAGACTCAAACTGGTTGGGCTTTAGTAAGGTACTCTCTTTCCATGTTTATTTTGGATTAGAATTCATATATATTTATATGAATGAAGTTTTGCAGCCAAAATATCCTTGTATGTAATATAAATATATCAGAGATATACGAAGCTCCAAGCTCTTAAATATATTTATATTACATATAAATATATTTATTTTGTATGCTTTAACCACCTTCCTCTGCAGTGTGCAAATGCAGATGTTCTTGCTGGATGGTGCGATTCTGGTAGCATCTTTGTGGCTGATGTTGTAGAGGAGCACTCATGAAACCTGTGAATACTGTTATCGACCTGATATCACATGTTGTCAGTGTAGTGTTATCTGCCCGCAACTTTGAATACAAATACAAAATGCTAGAAATTATGTTGAAACATAATTTCTCTTCTAATGATACGTTCTTTACGATAATTGAAAGGCCACTTGTTGGATGCATTCAACTCGAGCCACCAAGATACAGGAAATTGATCTTTTATAGTTTTTATTGGTGCAGGATCTTTTGTGGTCTGGGGTGCGATCGGATTATGTTGAAACATTTGTCTCTCGTATGAACAACATGAGCAGAGTTGTGAATTGGATTATCTTTCTACCCTCTCGTATGAACAACTATAGGGGCTGGGCTCATATGTAATTAATCATGAATCCAATGACATTGGTGTAATCGACGAGCCAGATAACTCAGCCAAGTGTCTCATTTAAAAGTGCAACAAAAAAGGCCACGACGACATCTGTACTAGGCGGATCCATGGCCCCAACCCAACCGCTTGTCCACCAGAAAAGACCAGTTATGGACACGTTCGTCATAACGGGTGCGGTCTTCGTCGGGTTCGGATCGCTTGTTGGGCTCGCTCGCCGACTCAATTTAACCCAATAGGTGCGCGTCACTGTCTGGCACAAGCAAACTGCGACGCACATTGCCCGCTTCCAGACTTCTTCGCGGGCCGTCCCCATCGGAAAACCTGGGTGGTGCCAGATATATTGAGGGTTTTATGGGGTTTTGAGTTCATCGATTGGATTCTTTATCTGTGTTCGTTCGGTGATGATCTGGAACAGACTTTTGACTGGTAGCTGATCGATTTATCCACTTCGGTTCAACTTCGGTGCTCTTTGAAGTTGGAAATGGGAGGCTCTGCAGCTGATTGCGTGGCTTTCATGCGACTTTGGTGGACGAAATGGCCAGCAAGGGAGCGGTCGTGAATCGCTCATCGGCATCGCATCGTCGAGGTTGGTCATCTAGCTGATGTTCTAAGATTGTCTTCCCCTCTTTGCGATAGTTGTACAGAACATGGACTATTTGAGTACCAATTGTCCTTTTAGCTGATTGAAATCTTGGAGCATCTTTCCCTTCATTGACTTACCGGAAAACATCGGAGTTTTACCCCCTTTGAATTTGTGGATTGTAGTGAAATACAAGGTTAGATCAAGATCAATAACGTGTGCCTCTAAATGGATCTGGGCAGTGGCGCTGCGAGCGTCCTCGCGATCGTGAGGGTTGCCACGAATCCTAAGTAATGCGATGTAATATAATATTTAACACATTATATATTATATTATATAAAATCTAAACAGTACAGGACTGTTTGGTTTTGGTTGGTTTTGTACCGGGAAACACTGGTTGAACCATGTCGAACCAGCCGATACAGTGAACCTTGGTTTGGAGTACCAGTCTCAGCCCAGACCTGGACTGATCATTGCGAACCATCTGGTTTTTCAAATAATTCTCTCACTTGGACTTTCTATGTAGTTCTCTCACTTGATGCATAATGAAGTGTTTCCTATGTGATATTGGAATGAAATTAAACCTCTCTAATTTAGGCCTCTGTTGAAAGGTTTTTTTCTCCTTTTGAGTGGTTACTTCTGTTTTCAGTGTTGGAGCACTGTTTGATTTATTAGAAATGCATTTTGAGACTTCTTATTCAATCTCATTCTGATAATTCCCGTATCAGAGCTCAGCGTTGAGTCTTTCAAGTGCTATAAGATTTATGCTCCAACCAGAGGTAACCCAACAGTTTGATTCAAACGATATGCAGATGATATACCATCTTTTCCTTCTTTCTGGCCAACAGTTTGCCTCTTTCTTGTTGTTTTATTTATGGAGGTTAATTTGCGTGCCATGGAATCAAGAGAGCAAATAGACAATGAAGATGGTGTTGCGGCTGCAGTGGATGCATTCCATAGGCATTTGCCACCACAGCTACCGATCCCTCCTCCTCCTGTCATTTTTTTGTCTGTGAATATGGGATAATAAAGACCAATTATATAGTTTTCTCTACATGTATTGAGTGCTTGAGGGATTCATGGAGTCTTCGGGCTTATATAGACTTTTGGTGTGCAATGTTACATAATTGTCATTTTGTTTCCCTGTATCTATCTATCTCTCAGTATCATAAATTTTTCTTCTTCTTCTTTTTTTTATATACTTCATCTTTTTCTTAATCCTATTGTAATAATTTTTTTAAGACATTATTTTGTGAAGGATGATCAAAGATCATGATAGAAATATACATGACATTGATTCTTAAATCATAAATTGATTGAGGATATAAGGAATACAAAGATATATGACATAAGGAATATAAAGATATCTTATATTTTATCTAATGAACAATTAGATTCCAATTGCAAATTAAACTTATTCCAAGTCGGATTTCTAATCATTAAAAAAAATAAGAGTAAAGATTTCTAATCAAATTCATCTACTTCTTATTCGAGAATTTTGTCAACGATTGCTGTCCTCGATGCTGCGTGGTCAACCGCTGCTCGTCCCTCATCGATCATGGGGAATGGCGAGGTTTTTGGCGCAAACCGAGGAGGCGGGACGAAGAAATTTTAGCGGGGGATGCAGGTTTGGCGCCAACCCTCGACAGCCATTCCAAGTCTCGCTTTGGCAGTCTCCACTGCAGATTCCAAGTCGGTCTCTCTCCTAAGATTTGGAGAGAGAGAGAGAGAGAGAGAGGATATCGTTCCGTGATGCACTCACTGCATTCCGCCAGAAAGATGAACGGGGAATACGACAGAGGGAAAGAAACAAAGAACACGACACTGTTCGAGCCTACTAACAGTGTCGCCAAGTCCGATTAATAATGTGGTAAATCATTGGACACACTGCGCCTCGGGACTCTCACACAAAGGTCGCTTTTGCCAGAAGGAAGGATGCACTGTACCCATATAGAGATGGGTTTGTATGCTATTTACCGGCTGGTGTAGTATTATTCTATGTTTCTTTTATCTTTTATTTTTTGCTTCTATAAACCCTTCTAACCTTCTTTTATTATTATCCTTGCAATCAAATAAATTAAATTCATTCTGTTGAATATTTCTCCTAACCACTTCATCCCCAAATATAAAAAGCTAACTCGATACAATTATAGACTTATTTTGATATTTTTTAGTTTAGGCATTAGATAGAACTCATCTTTAGTTATGAAGATGACTAATTACATATTATTTTTTTCAGTTAGTTATCTTTAACATCTTAATTCTTATATTTTAAAAAATTATATTGATATCCATATAATTACAAAAGTAAAATATTTATATCTATTTATCATAACGTTGTTAATTTTATCAATGAAAACATGAAAGCAAAGGGTAAAAAGATAATTTTAACGTTCTAGTTGGTGATAATGAACGACGACATCGTTGGGGGTTGTGGATAAATATTGTGGTTGAGGAGAGCAACAAAATGAGATGAGAGTCGCTCTGCATTTGTGTCTACACCGACATAATTATCGAGTGATATTGCTCCACATTTACGTTGGCATTGATACAGATATTGAGCAATCCTTTTACCTCTTGACAATTGCATCAACATCGACGTAGATGCAGAGTAGCGAAAGGGCTGCTTGGCAATTGCAGCAGCATTGACATAAACGTAGAGCGACTCTCACCACTCGTCGTCGCTCTCCTCATCCATAATACCAACCCACACGCCCCAATAACGCCACCATCCATCACCATCGAGATGATCCATCATCACCAATTAAAATATTAAAATTAATTTTTTATCAATTATTTTTTATGTTTACGTTTGTAAAACCAACGACATTAGAGTAAATGAATCAAAATATTTTACTTTCGTAATTATAAGAATATCAATATAATTTTTTAAAATATAAAAATTAAAATATTAGAGATAATTAATTATAAAAAATATATATAATTAGTCCTTATCAAGATTATCTGAGAATATTGTAGGACCAATCCTCATCTGAGGATGTCGTGGCCCCATTGCCCAATCCGTCTGGTTATATATATATATATATATATATATCCAGTTGAATCGATTGATGCATCGCTGTCGCCATGATGGTCCCATGATACATGATGGTGATAAACGTTGGATATGTGCGCGTAATGATGGTGGCGCTGCCGAACTCGCGATCCGAACCAGCGACGAATTAGAAGGCCGGGCTGGGGATCAATTGGCGGTGATTCACCGGGTGGCACGGCGCGACCGCAACAAAGCATGTATGCCATGCCATGCCATGCCATGCCATGATCATGCAAAGAAAGCCAGGCAGAGAAGTACACTTTGCTTGTCTCCCAAACATGCCCGGGAATCACATCGATGGCGCATGGGCCCCCAACCAACATCACCAGGTGGAATCTAATTGCTCCATGAACACCTCCAAACGCCACGGGATCGATCACCTTTTCATCGTGTGTCTCGATCGACACCCATAAGTATTATGTGATTCATCTTCATCTTCACGACTTGATGATTAGGGTTCCAAGTTTCCAACATAGTCTATAAACCTAATCGAACTGATTGATTATTCAGATCCTAAAATTATGAACGTAATCCTCTGATGGTTTATTTATGCTAAAAATATTTATTTCTTTTCGTAAGAAGAAATATATTATGTTTATTGCTTTCTCATCTTCTGTTTCTTACATTCCTATCATTCTTTTTTCATTATATTATGATATATATATTTTTATATATTTTATCTTTTTACATTATATATAATTCTTCCGAGTTATATATATATATATATACATATACATATATACATATATATATATATACATATATACATATACATATACATATATACACACACATATATATATATATATATATATCTCATTCTCATTCATAAGATAGAGTTAAATTATGATTTTAGACTCAATTCGCTGCTATAAACATCAAATTTTCTAATTCATATTTTAATTTACATGGATGCTTTTACCCTAAAAAAAGAATTTTGGGAATAAATCGTCTATTTGATTACCAATTTTTTTACATATATATATATAAATGTATTCTGAGAAATTGGAGTGAGTTTTTATTTAATGACTCAAAGTTCGAGGAAGTCAAAGGGTGTAGCATTTCTGTCTTTACATAGCTTCATCATTAGCACATTGGGAATTGTAGACCAAATGTAATTATGTCTCGGTGTTAACACAATTGGGAACTCCATTGGAGGTTGATTGAATTATTAGAATACTTTGCACATCTATCTATTTAAGATTTTTCACATATATTTCCTTTAATGTGTGAAAACAATACATCATAATATATTTTTTATTAATAAAAATATTTAGTCTCAAATTAGTTGAGGAGTAAAAATAAAAACCTTAACACATATATATTTTTTCATCCAAAAGGATAAAAATATGATAATAATATCTTTAATATATAGAAAGATACATAAATACCCAATATCTTTAATAGTTTTATATTCTTTATTAAATTTAGAGTGGTAAATGCGAGAATCACTTAATTTTGGCTAATAAATGCCGATTTAATCAAGCAAAAGTAATTTTTTTTAGAAAAGAAAAGAGTTAAAGATTGACGAAAGAAAATAATCTAAAGATATAATAATATAATTATATTAAGATAAGAAATATGTAAATTTTTTTATCTTATTAATTTAATCAAAGTATCTATTTTTTAATTCATAAAGAAATTGCACTAAAAATATTAAAAATCCAATTTAAACAGATTGAAAGAGACTCAAATGTTTGAGATCCGTACATATATGGCTTAGTCACGGACAGTATGTACTCGCGACGAACAACGTCGAGTCGAATCCAATGCAACACAGGGCGTCACTGCCTTCCCTCTCTCTCTCTCTCTCTCTCTCTAATGCAACACAGGGCTTCACTGCCTTCCCTCTCTCTCTCTCTCTCTCTCGTGTTCTTACTTTAATGTCCGATCACTGGCAACGCGTTGAGCAATTAATGTTCTCTCCATTTCCCATCCCTGTCTGCTCTGTTTTCGCTGTGTCATTTTGCTTGTAGCGTTTCTTTTTCTTGCCCTTTCGCGTACACACACACACGCGCTCTTATTCCTGAAGGATTCTAGAGCGGAAACCCCGAAAAGGAGAAAAAGAGAGAGAAAAATCTACCTTTTTATCGGGTTTTCCCTTTGTCTTGAGCATCTTTGGGTACTTGCAGCTGTTTCGAGGAATGAGAAAGGGAAGGCGAGTGATTGATTTGGATAGGCCTTGAAAGCTCTGGTCTTTGGAGGAAAGAAGGGTTTTTGATCGGCGCAGGGAGAGATGGATACCGGGCGCCGCCTTGTAGCCGGTTCGCGTAACCGCAACGAGTTCGTGGTCATCAATGCTGATGATTTTGAGCGGGTGAGTGCGATAAATATGTCGTCTTTCTATCCGGGTGTCCGTTCCTTTCTCGATTCCTGGGTGATCGTTGATGGTGCTTCCCATCCCGAGTTCTGAAACGTGCGCTGGTGCTTGCGTTCGGTGGAAGTAATGGAAAAAAGATGACAAGCGATTTTGCGTTGAGCTTTTCATCAAAAGTCTCTTCTTTTTGTTGGATGTCTAAAGTTTTGAGGGTTTTCATTTGATTAGTATCGCTATGTTCAGGCATTCTTCGGCTCCCTCTTTTTTCTTGATCTCGCACTTCACACGGATGGATAAAAGCTCTTGTTCTCTGGGATTCTTTTAGACGCATTTCGTTTTCTGCTGCTCTTGACTTCTCTTCAGCTATTTTCCTCTTCGGTACTAGTGATAACGAGTGCAGTTATGAAGTATTTTCTTTTACGCACTCATGGTTCTTGTCATCTTTCATTAGTCCAGGAACAAGATTTCCTGATACTTATAATCTATAATTTTAACTTCACATACGCTATTTTCGATTTTGTTGGCTGTCGGAGATATAAAAATTTAACATTTTGATGTTGCGATTTTTCATCTTCGCTTGTACAACATGGTTTTCTCCAATCATATTTCATGGTACCATTGGGTTTCTGCAGCCCAAATTCGCCCAAGTTTCCAGTAGGCAGATCTGCCAGATTTGTGGAGACGATATCGAAGTATTGGTCGAAGAGGAATTCTTCGTTGCCTGCAATGAATGCGCTTTCCCTGTATGTAGGACTTGCTACGAGTATGAGAGGAGGGAAGGGACTCAGGCCTGCCCACAGTGCAAGACCCGGTACAAGCGCCACAAAGGTTCGCCATCCTTGGACTTGTTGGTGTGTGCTTGGTAGCGGTACCTTGTCCTAACGATGAAGTTTTGCAGGTAGTCCTAGGGTAGAGGGTGATGAGGAAGAAGATGGTGATGATGATCTGGAGAAAGAATTTAATTTTGGCAATTTTGACTCGAACGAGACGCTGAACGATCCTCTGACAAATCTTGAACGACCGTGTGGTGTAGGACAGAGCTCTCTCAGTGGGCTAGGCACTTCTAACCCCATTGTGCAAAGTAATGGCACCAATATCCTACTTCTGACTGATGCTGAAGAGGTAGAGTGATTGATTACATGCAGGAAGAGAAATCTTTTAAATTTCTTTATGTCGGCTCATGATCATGAATTTATTAGGTCGATGGAATTTCTCCTGATCACCATGCTCTCATAGTCCTTCCATATCTGGGATTTAGAGGACAAATTATTCCCAGTAATGCTACACAAACATCTGCCTCTAGTAAGTGGATTGTTCTAGCTTTGTAACTCTTTGTATTGTTGCTAGCACTATAGTCAGTAGTGTTCTTGGCCTTGTCTCCTTTTTACCGAGTCTAGGGAGTAATGCTTGATGTACTTTTTCAGCACAACATAGAGCTATCAATCCCAACAAAGACATATCAGTATATGGCTATGGAACTGTTGCTTGGAAGGATAGAATTGATGAGTGGAAGAGAAAGCAATTAAACAAGTGTCAGCACCTTCAGCATGAAGGGTGGGATGGTAATGGCTTTGATGGATACGGGAAAGAAAACGATGAATTTCCTATGTATGTTAACATCTTTCCTCTCTCTCTCTCTCCTCTCTCTCTTTTACATTGTAAAATTTGTAATATATGTTTGTTACTCTATTCTTGAACTAGTATATCCACATATCACTTTTGTTTTTTCCATTATTTCTTAAGTTTTGATGTTATAACTTTAGCTCTTTATCTTTTGGTTTTGATTGAGAATCGTTCATTGTCCTCAGCCAACTGGGGTCAAGATTGCAAATGGAAGCTTTTGACTTCATACTGTATTCGATACTTTTAACTAATGCACGACTTTGATAGTTATAGGTTATTGTTTTATGTGCAACCCTGCATAAGAGATTCTTTGAAGTTTGAACTGCACGTCTTAAATTTTGGTGGCTTTTGAATTTACTTAGCTTGAGCTATTTTTCAGTATTGAAGCATCCTTTCAGTAAATATTTGTTCAAAGGTTCAGATTGACTAGCTTTCCTGACAATATATAAATTAAAGATATGAAGCTTGCACGATTTTGTGTCATTCATTAATTATAATCTATGCTTCAAAAATGAGTTAGCACCATGTTATCGACATTAAATGTTGCTCCTGTACTGGTAAGCCTGCTTGGTCATATAGTCTATGCAGAAAAAAAAGGGCAAAAAAAGAGATACATTAGAAGGAAAAATTGCATCTAGATTACCTTTTTTTATATAAAAAAACTTGGTTTCTGCTTTTTCCTGAAGAGTACACGTATATGCTTTGATAAAGTAACAATCACTTACACTGGTTAAGTGAATGTGCAGTTTATGTTATCATTGCTTGGTGGAGGACCTCCACTTACAATTGCACATTCATTTAACCAATATAAGTGATTTGTCTAGTGCACTCACAAAAGAGAATAGTGCACTAGACAGCCTTCTTTTTTGTGTTCAGTTTTTTAGTTCACATGGTAAAACTAACATTTATCCATCTTTAAGCTGTTTCATTTACGATCATCAAGAAATTACCTTTCAAATGATTGAATGTTGCCTTTTCTTTTCAGTAATTGTACTCTCTTCCTTTTTCTAGCAGTTACGCATCTGTTTAAATTGTCACTCTTCATTTCCAAACTTCTGATGTAGGTCTGATGAGAGCAGGCAACCATTGTCGAGAAAGCTACCCATTGCTTCCAGTAAGATAAGCCCGTACCGGATAATAATTTTGTTGAGGCTCATCATTCTTGGTTTCTTCTTCCATTATAGACTTCTGAACCCAGTTCTGGATGCCTATGGATTGTGGCTGACATCTGTTATATGTGAAATCTGGTTTGCCATTTCATGGATTTTGGATCAATTTCCGAAATGGTATCCTATAGAACGAGAGACCTACTTGGATCGTCTATCATTGAGGTAATCAAACTTTCTAAGAATGTTGTATAACTTAATTAGTTTTTGTTACCTGACTGATGAATAATTTGTTCCCAGGTATGAGAAAGAAGGGAAACCATCTGAGTTAGCAGATGTTGATATCTTTGTTAGCACTGTTGATCCTATGAAAGAACCTCCACTTATCACTGCAAATACAGTTTTATCTATACTTGCCGTGGATTATCCTGTTGCTAAAGTTTCATGTTATGTATCTGATGATGGTGCTGCAATGCTTACATTTGAAGCACTTTCAGAAACCTCTGAATTTGCCAAAAAGTGGGTTCCATTTTGCAAAAAGTTCAACATTGAACCTCGTGCTCCTGAATGGTACTTCGCTCAGAAAATTGACTATTTGAAGGACAAATTTCATCCAGATTTTGTGAGGGAACGACGTGCTATAAAGGTTTACTCATCTTTGAAATCCTTTTTTGTTATTTTGGTAATTCCATATTTAAAATTTGATTTCTACCAGTCCTGCTTTAGCCAACTTTATGCCTCGTAAAGTTCCCACTGTCATTTTTTGTTTACATGGTTTTATCGTGATATGGTAGTCATTGTCAATAATGAGTTTAATCCTTAGGACCCTGAAAGACCTAATGCAATTTAATCTGGTATTTTGTATCTTGCAGAGAGAATATGAGGAGTTTAAGGTTCGTATCAATGCATTAGTTTCCATGGCACAAAAGGTTCCTGAAGAAGGCTGGACAATGCAGGATGGAACTCCATGGCCTGGAAACAATGTCCGAGACCATCCAGGAATGATTCAGGTGTCCGCCATACTATTAACAATTCCTAGTAACTGTAACTGCTTCTTCTTTATACTATTCAAATCGACCTCATTTATTTTCATGGGGTTCCATGAAATGATGCATAAAGATCTGATATATTCTAAGACCAAATTTTGTTGCTGATTAATACTTTGCATCTAGAATCTTACATGAAGCTGAACATCTATCTCTGCATGTTTCTCAAATTTTAAACGCAACTTAGCTGTTTATTTTTGAGTGAACTAGACTCAGTCCTTTAGTTCAGCCATCCTCTAGGCTGTATGCAAAATGTAAAATTATGTTTGCATTTGTTACAAACAAGGTGCTAAAAGCGTAGGAAACTTGTTTATTTCTAATTTTATTTCCTTTTATTTTTCATTTGATGCAGTTTCTAAATATAAATTTGCAACCACATTAGAAATTGCTAATCTTGTATGCTCTTTAGGTCTTTTTGGGTCATGATGGCGTGCTTGATGAGGAAGGAAACAATTTACCACGTCTAGTATATGTTTCTCGAGAGAAAAGACCAGGATACAATCACCACAAAAAAGCTGGTGCCATGAATGCTCTGGTAATTTTCCTTCACGAAAATCTATGATTTTGTTCTGTGTTCATTGGATGATAGAGTTTCTCACCTATTCCATTTGATGTTGATAACTAGATTTTATGTCAATAACTAGTTGACTTGATTCCAGGTGCGTGTTTCAGCAGTTATCTCCAATGCTCCTTACATCTTGAATGTGGATTGTGATCACTATATTAACAATAGCAAAGCCCTTAGAGAAGCTATGTGTTTCTTGATGGATCCTATCTCAGGAAAGAAAGTTTGTTATGTTCAATTCCCACAGAGATTTGATGGAATTGATCGGCATGATCGATATTCAAATCGCAATGTTGTTTTCTTTGATGTATGTAAAATGGTGGTGCTTTTCTTTGGTGTCGACTATATTATTATTTTTAGCATTCATATAGGTTTCATATGACCAAGTGACTTTGTCATTTTCAAACAGATCAATATGAAAGGTCTTGATGGGATCCAGGGACCAATTTATGTTGGTACTGGATGCGTTTTCAGAAGGCAAGCACTCTATGGATTTGATGCTCCCATTGAAGAGAAACCTCCAGGAAAAACCTGCAATTGTTGGCCAAAGTGGTGCTTCTTTTGTGGTGGATCTAAAAGAAAAAATAGCAAAAGCAATCATAAGCAGGAGGAGGAGACGAAGAAGAAGAGGGTGAAGCACAGAGAGGCATCCACTCAAGTGCATGCACTCGATATATTTGAAGAACACAGAGGTGAGTATAATATTTGGTTCATCAGGATGTTCTTAACATCGAGCTTATTAATGCTGTGCTACTTGCAGGACAAGAAAGTGAAAACTCTTTCTTGGTGCCTCGGGAAAAGCTTGAGAAGAAGTTTGGCCAATCACCTGTTTTTGTGGCATCCACACTCCAAGAGAATGGCGGGACTGCTAGAGGTGTTGGTTTTGCTTCATGCCTTAGTGAGGCCATGCATGTCATTAGCTGTGGTTATGAAGATAAAACCGACTGGGGAAAAGAGGTAATGCTAAGCTCTCATGAGTGCCAAAGCCTATCATATCATGAGTGCTCACTCCTATCTGATAATTATTATGCCCTATTCAATCTTCATTAGTCTTCATGCTTGTCAGGTTGGCTGGATATATGGATCGGTCACAGAGGATATTCTGACAGGCTTTAAGATGCATTGTCATGGTTGGCGGTCTGTTTACTGCATACCTAAAAGACCAGCATTTAAAGGATCAGCTCCTATCAACCTTTCTGATCGTCTTCATCAAGTCTTAAGATGGGCTCTTGGATCTGTTGAAATTTTTCTTAGCAAGCATTGCCCTATATGGTATGGCTATAGAGGTGGTTTGAAGTGGTTGGAAAGATTTTCCTACATAAACTCGGTTGTCTATCCGTGGACGTCTATTCCTTTGGTTGCTTATTGTACTTTGCCAGCTATTTGTCTCCTCACAGGGAAGTTTATTGTGCCTGAGGTACTCTCTGAATTCCACTTTCTGGAACAGATTTTATTTTTTATTGGACAAAAACTGAACAAATTTGGCTGATTCATCTATAGATTTCTTGACATTTTGTGCTATTGTAGATAAAATCTATGTCCCTTACCACCTAAGGGAAAACGAAGAAGCAACTTTTTCATACAAGCATTTAAACCATAAAAGAGCCACCGTATAAGGACAATACATAATTATGGGTTGTGTATCATTAAGACAAAGACTGATACTCAGCTTATTAGTATACTGATAATTTTCTATACTTTCAATACAGCAACAAGATGAATAATTTGATGAAAGTTTCTACAGCTGTATGCCATCTTGGAGATGAGGAATAAATTTATTTTGTTTGAGAATATCATCACGACAAGTGAGAAGTGTATCTTTTTTTGTTAACGAATAGAAGCTTTAACTGATGAGGCAAAAAAAAAAGAAGCTCTTCGATGGTGACTAACTTTTCGTAACATGTCATGCTGCTTTAGCTATGAATTACATGCGAATGTCAATTTTTCTTCTTGCATTATCGGCTTCAGCATTTTTATTTTGGTTGGGTTTTTTTTGTATGTTATCCTGAGTTGCACATTTTTGCCGTCCCAGAAAATAACTGAAACTCATTTGTATTTGACAGATTAGCAGCTATGCAAGCATAGTCTTCATGGCTCTCTTTGTATCCATAGCTGCAACCAGCATCCTTGAGATGCAATGGGGAGGTGTGACCATCGATGACTGGTGGAGGAACGAGCAGTTCTGGGTGATTGGTGGTGTTTCATCACACCTCTTTGCACTCTTTCAGGGTCTCCTCAAGGTTCTAGCTGGTGTCGAGACAAACTTCACAGTCACTTCCAAAGGAGCGGATGATGGCGAATTCTCGGAGCTTTATCTCTTCAAATGGACCTCATTGCTGATTCCTCCAATGACACTGCTTATTCTCAACATCATTGGCGTCGTAGCTGGAATCTCTAACGCCATTACCAATGGTTATGAATCATGGGGCCCGTTGTTTGGTAAGCTCTTCTTTGCCATTTGGGTCATAATGCATCTGTACCCATTCCTCAAGGGAATCGTGGGGAAGCAGGATCGATTGCCGACGATCATCATCGTCTGGTCCATACTTCTCGCATCTATTTGTTCGCTTTTGTGGGTTCGAGTGAACCCGTTCATAGGTAAATACGATGGTCCTGTACTAGAAGTCTGTGGCTTAGATTGTAACTGATATTTGCGTGCATTTTTTCGGACGTCTTTGTGCTTGGGATTTGGATGTCAATTTCCATGGTGAGTGATTGATGAGTAAGAATGAGTTTAGAGAACAAAAAAAACAAAAGAAAGAAAAGGAAAGAAAAGAACAGAAGACGGTTGGTTTGTGTAGATAGAGTCACATTGTTATCTCTAATTTCTACTTCTTTTTTTCATTCTTTTTCAATACTTCATGGTTGTTCAACTGATTGATCTGACGGCATGTAATCCTCAACAAAATATTGTCTAGTTTTTTTGGTGTTCAATTGATTTCTATGGATTGACTACTGTTCATCGAAATGTATAGTTCTATTGATGCCTCGAGCAAACTTGTGTTTTGCATACTGAGGCTTTCTTCCATTAATCTTCTCCTCTGTGTAAGTTTGTCAAGTGTTTCAAAAGCACGGATTGTGGACCAAAATGTACATAGCAAATATTGTTATATATATGTACATATATATATATATATGTGTGTACATGTATATATATATATGTATATGTATATATATATGTATGTACATATATATACATATATATGTATATATACATAAATATATATATCAAAAGGGCTCTTTTTATACCAGAGAAAAATAAAAAAAGGGGGTTTTCTTGGTGTAAGAGTCATAACGAGATCAATTAAATCACAAAACACAGGTCATGCATCAAATGGTGGAGAATCGTCGATTGCATAGATCTTGGCCGTTGGTTTGGTTAGTTCATTACACTATGAACCGATCGGATCCGCTAGCTATGCGGTTCAAATCCTTAATCGGGACGGATCGGATCCGACCCGTTCCCGGTTCTTCATCTTTGCCCCTCCATCTCGTTGACACCGTCAACGCGCCGTGACGACTCGACCCTTCTTGTTGATGGGTAGGTAAATAGCGTAGCGAAATCTATCCCTCCATCTCGAGATCGAAGCCCTCGTCCCTCCCTTCTCACCCCTCCTGTGATCCGGCGGTTGCGCCGCGGCGGTCGGCGAAGATGTCGCATAGCGACACGATCCCCCTTCACCCCTCCTCCCAGTCCGACATCGACGAGATCGAGAACCTCATCAATGCTGACGTCCACTCCGTCACCGTACTCCCCGCTCGACCCCCCAGTCCTCCTCGCGTTTCCATTCCCATCTCCCATTCGCCCTCCCCCTTGCCGCCCTACCAGAAGGTGCCTCCCTCCGCCTCCCCGCCCCCGGTCGTGCCTGCTGTACCCGCTGCCGCCGCGGCGCCGGCTGGGAGCTCTCGTATCGGCATATCCTCGGATGCGTTCGGGTCGCCGCCCGACACGCTTACGGAGCCCGTGTGGGACACGGTGAAGCGGGATCTGGCGCGGATCGTGAGCAACCTGAAGCTGGTGGTGTTCCCGAATCCATATAGAGAGGACCCCGGGAGGGCGCTGAGGGATTGGGATCTCTGGGGTCCCTTCTTCTTCATCGTGTTCCTTGGGCTTACTCTTTCCTGGTCTGCATCGGCCAAGAAGGTATGATCGGATCTAGGTTTCCTACCTTTATCTGATTCAAGTTTAATCAATCATGCTTTCGTTTAGATCTCGTCGATGGTACCAACAATTTTTTGATGCTTACTCCATCTTTGATGTCAGAATTATGGTTGTTGAAAGAAAAAGATGGCATAGTTTTGAAATAAATTCTTCTCGAATTAGATCGTAAGCGTTGGATTCATGTTGATGTTCTTGACTGTAATTGTTTTCCTTCAGAAAAAAAAATATTTTTGAGGGTGGAATGTATGTGTAAGTTGTTCTTTGACATGTTTAATGTGTACCTGTGCTGTATATATAAAAATTAAGGTACACTGAGGGGGATGCCAAAAGATATAGTTGATGTTGCCAAAATACTTAACCTTACATTTAACTGGTTCTTGTGAGATATTATGATCAAGCTTCTACATGCATCAAGGCTCTTAGCAACATCTAGATTTTTTTTTTTGAACTATGGTTTTAGAAAGTTCTTAAGCACTATTTATAATGCAAGAAAATCAAAGGTGACAATATTTTTCGGGTTCCAACTGGCCTATCATCATAGACATACATGGAACCAGTTCAGGAAAGCTTCAAGTTCTGGTTGAAAAGAATAAAATTGGAGTTATGAGTGCTATATGGATACGAGTGTTTGATAATTAAAAAATAACATATACAAAAAAGTTTATGTTGCTGAGATAAGGATGCTAAGATGGATGTGTGGAGTTACTAGGAAGAATAGAATACAAAATATTTTTATTTGTGAATAATTAGGTACTGTTTCAATAGAGGATAAGATGAGAGAGAATCGTTTAAGATGGTATGAACATGTGCTTATGAGACCTATGGATGCAATAGTTAAAAAAGATGAAATGATTAATAGCAGTGGTACGAGGAGAGGTAGAAGAAGACCTAAAAAGACTTTTCTATAAATTATAAATAATGATTTAAATATTTTAAACTTAGCTAAAAATATGATTTTTTATGGATCCCAATGACGACAAAAGATCTATGTAGTTGATCCCAAATAGTTGGGATTTATGAATTTGTTGTTATTGTTGTATTACACCTCTATGAAAGACTTCATGGGTGCTTTATGAGTATTTAGGTGGAGATGTTAAAATTTGTATTCACGATCAGTGAAGTCACCAAGCGCCTAAGCGAGGCGTCGAGCACTCGCTTATTGGGTTGGGTGGGTGACTTGACTCAGGTATGACTCTGGTGCTGGTTCAACTCAGGCCAGGTTGAGCCTAAGTCGAACCAAAACATTCATTTGGTTCGATTCGATTGAACCAAATATTTGTCACCGGAACCACCACTCACGAGTGCCCTAATGCAAAAGTTCTTTCCCTACTACATTTCTCACGGCAGCAGAGTTCCATCGGCAAATTATGGTAGTAGCGACAGCGGCGACATCCTCCTTCAGTGACAATAGCGATGTCTTCCTCTAGCGATAGCGGTGGGTCTTCCTTCGGTGGCGGTGGTGGTGGCTTCTTTCCCTCCTAGGTGTATCTCTCTTTCTCCTCCCTCCTACCTCTGCCTTGTTCATCGCAGCCCTCCTATGGTGTTTTGGGACCGTGGCTCCTTTTGGCACCTAGCAATTTTAACTATACTGTTCACAATAACATATTGTTAACAATGAGCAATTACAAGGAGAAAAAGTGATCTTGGCATTTGGTCCTCACATACCTAAAGATTCTTTAGTTGGGTGGATCTTTTGTGTTCATTCCTTTTGTTCCTACTTTTATTTACGTCTTTCAAATGGTTTTCTTCTTGCTTGGAGATATTCACAATGATGTTCCTTTCAAGTCTTTGTCCATCTTATTTATTCCTTTAAGATCAAGTTTTTCTTGATGCCTTCACTAATGTTGAAATAAATAAGACCAACTCGTTTTTTCTTATAATTATATACAATCACTTCATATATATATATTCATGACCATATTTTAATAGGTTTATTTATTCTCATCCTGATTTTATCATCATGTTTGTGTGAGGATGTCAGATTACACTTGTATTTTGTTTGTACCTCTATGTGAACTATGATATTGATAGCAGACCATGACAGCATATCTTTTCCATCTGTAAAAACCACTTTACCGTAGTTTGTGGTTTTAGAAATTGTTTATTTGAAAAGGCCAAATGTATCTAGGTATCTATATCTTACTACTAATCATTGTTTTAAGAAGTGGTCATAGTTGTTTGAAGTTGCAGTCCATATGCTGTACCTGTGCAGTGCCCATGTTCTGTTTTGGGCTCATTGTGGGCTATTAGCAGTTATTGTTGCTGCTATATTGTGGGCCCTTAACAAGCACGTTAGGCTTGTGTATGATCACTAAAGTGTCTCAACTTATAATAACCTTGTTATTCATTTATTTTTTATTTCAAATCCATATTAATGATTTATACTTTTTGAATCTTAGCAACATTCCCAAATCCCACTTGTTTTTTACCAGAATCACTTTCTCTTTCTGACGTTGACTGCCCCGCTGCCTCAGTCCTTAACATGATCCTTGCCACCCCTTTCCTCTCCCTCAATTATTTTCCCATATAATGGATGATAATATTTCCCTCTCTCCTTCCCTGAGTACTATATTTTTCAACTTTTGATGACAATATTTTCGATCGTGGATGATAATGTCATGCTTTGATACTGGTATTTTTGATTTTTTATGGCTAGTGAACAATCATGTTATATATTGATGATAATGTACATCATCACCATCTATCCAAAACATGAATCATTTTGTGCCTGGATTTCATGTGTAGTAAAGGGGAATAATGTACCGTTGCTTTGAAAAAAGATGATATAAACTGATTACTATTGGAAAAGAGAGTCATATTTTCCAAAATTAGAGATGTTTGGGGCTGAACTTATACTGCTACATCTTAGAATTCCTTTAGAGTTAGAAGTCCCTTTTCGACTTAATGATTTAGAAAGGGCCAACAAGCACTTTCTAAGTGAGAAGACATAATTAACCAGTGATTTAAAAAGCGCTAGGCATCAAAAGATACCAAGGTCCTAAAATGCTCGAGGCGCTATGCCCTATTTGGCCTGATTGGGCAGCAATCAACTTTTACTGAGAAATAGTGTAGGGTTGGGTTATAATTTTTAAAAACCGACTGGGACCAAGGTGGGGACTTTATCACTTATCTCCACTCCAAGGGCAGTCTTCACCAGTCTGGTCAATGGAAAAACCACTCGTGGCAATTTCCGATCACTAAGTTCCCTATTATTTTTCAACTATAAGTAATGTATGTGCCAATGATATTATATGTACTCCCACAATTTACATTGGATGGCCCAGGTAAGAATTAATATCATCGGTTTTTGTCAAGGGCCAGGGATGTTATTGTATTTACTAATTCAGATGGGGATGGGTGGGGATGAGGCCTTTGAGTGACAGGGAAGTGACAGTTTGAGTAAAAACCATCTCCACCCTGGCTTCATGGCATCCCTAATGCCTTGCGATTCTTGTATATTGCAACCTTAATAGTTTTTGTTTGAGCTTCATTAGTGTTTTCTCAAGGGAATAGAATAGTGACCTTATAATAGTAAAAAGAAAGGTGCATTTGGGATTTAGAAACTATTGAATGAAAAGGAGTTTCTTGTCCTAAATTTGCATAGGTGTAGATCTTGGAGGAGAAGAGAGGGAAACTAAGGTTTTTGGCAAAACCTTTTGTTTCTCTCTAAGTTTCAGGTAAGAAGAGATAAGCTGATTGTGATTGCAGTTGCTGATAAAAGAAGAAAAATGGTATTTAGATTAAATTTTTGAGAAAAATGTGCAACTGATTTGTAGATTTATCTTACAAGATTTCATGAAGTAGTTGATATAATTTTAGAGGGAACTGTGCAGAACAATCCAACATAACTAGAAGTTTCCACTTGTCACCTCTATATTTTCAGCTTTTCCCAAGTTTGAGTGATTGTGACATGTGGGTGTCTTCAAGGATGAATCTGTGGCTTCTAAGTTTTTTTATTTAATTTTAAAAGGTATATACGATTTTATTTTATAAGTTTCTGAAATATATCTCTTCAGTTGGTGGAGCTGCTTTAGCATGATTATCTTTAAAAGTAGCAACAAATGACTACTGATATGAAACCCACTCCAATAGTGGATTTGGTCTTTTTTGCTTGCTATTGTGAGTAGCTAGCCACACAGAGAGATTATCCTTGCTTTCTACATCTTTTTGTTCCTGTTCAACGTTGTTATACCTTTCTGATGAAGCTGATTTTCTGTGGGGAATTGACCTTATGTTTTCTTCCTTCCCTCTATCCACATATACTTATCATAACCAAACTGGACTCAGACCGACCCAAGCCTTGGGCAATTGGATGCTGGTTGGACCGGTGGGTCAAAAGATTGGACTGCAAGTTAATAATAATAATAATAATATATGTATATATATGTGTGCAATTAAATACTATATTAGTTATGTTTTATTTTATCTAGTATATAATATATTTGAGAAAAGACAAAGTTATATCTTTTTCCTCCCTCTTCTCTGTCAACAGATATTGAATGAGGAGAATTTTCTTCATATTCCTCTTTTCTTAATTCTTTTTTTCATTTTTTTCTCTCTTTCCTCAGCAACACCTTCCTCTTGTCCCACATCAGTTATGCTGAGGGCCGAGGTGATATTGTCATCTACTTCAATTGACCCAACATCCACTGCTTGGATCATCTCCTTTGCTTCTCAAGGCTGGACCAGTACTCGGTGCTGGTATTGGCTGAAGAGGCGCATGCCATATGGCAGCCTAAATGGTGTGCTATTCACTATTCAGGTGAGATCACAATAAGGCTGGAAAAGGAAGATGTGAGAAAAAAAGGCCCTAGAATCGATTGTAAACTGTGTTAGTTCTGTTGGAGCCGGCAACCTCATTTGGGATGTGTTATAAAACAGGTTGGGTAATCAAGTTTTGTTAGTCTAACAACATAAAAGCTAAATTGAATTAGGCAACAGTCTGATTTTTGTTTTGTTTTTTCTTTTATAACAGCTGATTCTGTCTAGTTCTGTTGATAGATTCACATTCTCCATTTGTGTTTGATTGTTTCTGTAAAAGTAAGTGAGAAATCAAAAGAGGATAGAAGCTCTCTCTCTTTAGTCCAGTTTTCTCTATGTATTTCCTTGGACTGGAAATAGTGCATTCTGGATGCAGAGGCTTAATCATTGTCCCATGGATGAGCAATTATAATAGTTTTCCACAATTTCTCTTTTGTGCATTATTAAATGGCTGCCTTTTTTATGTACGACGCACTTATGTCTGTTGTTATTGTTTTTATTCTCACAGTCCGAAGTATTTGCTGTTGCATTTGCAATCCTTGCTGCTGGTGCTATTATCCTGACATTGAATGTTCTACTTCTGGTAAGCAGCTGATGTGGGTCATGTTCTATTTTGCTTTATGGTGGCTTATTTTTCATGGGACATTTTTAATTAGTGTTTTTTCTTTATTGGAATAGGGTGGACACATCATCTTCTTTCAAAGTCTCAGTCTTCTTGGCTATTGCCTTTTCCCCCTGGCAATAGGAGCTCTAATTTGCATGCTAGAAGGTAATGTTATAATCAAGATAGTTGTGGTCTCCATAACATTGGCATGGAGCTGTTGGGCAGCTTATCCCTTCATGAGTGCAGCTGTTAATCCAAGAAGAAAGGCCTTAGCCCTGTATCCTGTATTCCTCATGTACATATCTGTTGCGTTCTTTATTATCGCCATAGATTAAGACATCAATATATCTGGTGTGTTTTGTTAAGTCTCTATGCCATAAATCCGTTCTTCCGTCCAACCAGCCGGACATACAATTATAGACAGACATTTCCAAGCTATTGCTCCTTTGTGGGCAGTGTTATTAGCTTTATTTGTGGTTATTGAGACTCAGAGTCCTCTTTGATTGAGGTGTAGAATGGTTTATGTTTACTCATGTGGAATACTTGGATATATGCCACAAGTTACCTTCAGAATGTAAAGCTATAATATTTTATTTTGCATACTTAGCAAGAGAAGCTTAAAATTTTTCCTTCTTGTCTTTTGATTTATTACCTGGATAGATTGCTTTCTAGATAATATTGAAAACTTTGAATTATTTGGAACAGAAATGTTTCTGGTTACATTGTTGTCCGACTTCTTTTTTTCTCAGAAGAGTGTGTTGTCTTATGTCTATTGTTCCTTTGTAATCTATCATCAATTACTTCACTGTTCATGGGTCATCTTATTATCTGCATAAGTTGATAGAGAAGTAGGAGGTGATGATGAAATGAGCCTCAACCACTGCTGGAAAGTGATCTCTTTGCTGGATTGACCACCATGGTTGACTCGGCGAAAGCTAGTCAAACTTAATGGATCGACTGATGGAGGCAAAGAAATCTTGCATCACAATCTGTCAGCCAATAACAATTGCGTTCGTGATGCCATTGCAGAAACAGATTGCAAGGTTGTTTTGCTGTTCAGAGTATGGTTGTGGATTCAACGAGGAAAGCGAGAGACATTTCTTGGTCATGCGCGTGGTGAGGCCGAGGCCAAACCAAGTACCACTACTGACGTGGCAGCATGCTACTGGAAGTTAAAACAAGCTCTTCAGTGAAAAAGGTACAATGATTCCGGATGAAGTCCACCGTGTGACTTCAGTCCATCTTCCTCCTTTCCACGCCTCGGTTTCTCTGACTTCACACGCGGTCCTCCAAAGTGAATCCCTCCTCTATTTATGCCCCCCGGACATCACCCCACAGTCGCAGCCTCTGCTCTCTCAGTCCTCTTTCTTCCTCCATACTGACATAGATGTCTGTGAGACTGGAGGAAGGCATGACAGAGCCTGATATCGAGGCAGCACAGCAGCTGGTGCAGCTCAGCAGCGGGGAGGAAGAAGACAGTGAAGAGTCGACATGCTGCAAGAAGAAAGAGGAGGAGGAAGGGATGAAACAAGCTCTGATATTAATGACAGGAAGACGAAGAGACGAGTGCGACCAAGAGGAAGAGAACAAGGAGGACCGGCCGAGGAAAAGGCAGCGGTTCCAGTCAGTAGTGACGATATATAAGCTGACCCAACCCATAACCTATGATCGCCATGGTTTCTAGCAAGAATGCAAGAGAAGTGGAAGAGGTAAACCGGTGGGAGGAGGAGGAGGTCACGTTGTGGCAATAGTTCTCTAATAATCTTGATTGTACGATCTGCATCCCTCTCTCTCTCTCTCTCTCTCAGGATCGGAGGGTCCTTTGGACAGTCCTCCTTTTGGTTTTTTCGCATTACTCTTCATAATCCAAAAAATACAACTTGTGATATGAGTAATATATTATGACAACGGATAATATTAAGGTATTTAACTACTCGAGAACACCACGAACTGCAATTTTGGACCGACACGGTATAAGCTAAATAGTGTGAGCAGCAGACGAGACCGGATCAGGCCATGAACCCGGTTCGGTTTCCAATTAGCCACTCACTGCATAATGGACCGGCAATTAGCCTGGCCTTCACCCGAACATTAACCCGGCCGATGTATACGATGTATCGAAGGACCCCAAGAAGCTAGGGATCATTTCCCTCCTCTTCGTCGTCGTCCTCCCACTCGTTCCTCGGAGGCTGCGATCTCCCGCGCGCAATCACGGTGAGAAATTCTAGCTTTCCAGTTCTCCTCCTCGTCCCTCGATTTCAGGCAGTTCTATCCCCGATCTCCACCTGTGCTTCTCTCCCAGATCATCCCCAAGAAGAACCGCCGTGAAATTTGCAAGTACCTCTTCCAAGGTAGTTTTGAATGCATAAAAGGGCTTCCCTTATTAGTATTCTTGCCGTATGATCGTTCTTTTTCATTGATTATCTTGGATTTAATTTGTTGCTGTTATCTGTTGGTATAGAGGGGCTGCTTTACGCGAAGAAGGATTACAATCTTGCCAAGCATCCCGAGATGGACGTGCCAAACCTGCAGGTCATCAAGCGGATGCAGATCTTCAAGTCAAGGGAGTACGTGAGGGAGACCTTTGCTTGGCAGCACTACTACTGGTATCTCGCCGATGATGGTATCGAGTACCTGAGAACTTACCTTAATCTTCCCTCCGAAATTGTCCCCCGCGACCCTGAAGAAGTCCACGAGACCGCCGGCCGGCTCGTTTGGCTCTGGCCCTCCCGGTGACCGCCCCAGGTGACTATAACCCCCCCAATCTCTTCCATTTCAGTGTTACGAAGAGTACTTTTGGTTGATGTTTTCTATTCTTAGCAGGGGACCACCACGATTCGAAGGAGATAGGCCAAGATTTGGGGATAGGGATGGATGTCGGGGTGGTCCTCGTCCTCGAGGTCCTCCGGGTGATCTTGGTGACAAGGGCGGCGCACCTCCGGAGTTTCAGCCATCTTTCAGGGTATGCATCAACTCATATTTCATATCTTTATTCTAAGCTTTTTTCCTATCATCAAAATTTGTTACGAGTATTACGAGGTCAGTCAAGAATGCCTTTTCTGGTCGTATTTTTGGTAGAGAATGATGAAAAGTTCTTTCTTGCTGTTACGTTGTAGGAGGTGGACTCTGCTGTTAGAAATGTGTGATTTGGCTATAGAGAATTTCTAGTTTATCTCTTCCAGAAGTGTTATCTGCCTTCTCGTTGTATTCTCTGGGGCAGTTTATTCTAAGTGAAAGACAAGTTTATTCATTGTCAAATATTTGAATGATATCATAGACATGGAGCTAACCTACCACAATTATTTGACAAGAAAATGATAAGCTTGCAAATATGCAACTTTTCTAGAAGCCATTCTGCAAATTTTTGCACAATCGCTTTGGAGAATGGAAGTGCAGAATATCATAGCAGGCACTAGAAATGCTTGGAATATGTTCAATAATCATACTCATGATATTAATATCTACTTGCAGCGTCCTCATGCAAAAGGTAGCTTCGATTTATGAATTTTATTGTGGAATATTGGAGGGCAAATGAACCTTGGTAGTAGAGAGTCAGATCCAGAATGCATGGATGTTTTATTGCTTAGAAGTGAGTGTAACTTCCAAAGCGAGATTAAATTAGGAGGGGAGACTGGTAATCTGGGACAGCAAATAAAAAGCTGCCATGCATCAAGTTTTGATGTGGAGGATCCTTATCTGAATGTTGCAAATCACATTATCATTGGTTGAGTTGTCTTGTGCCAAAGCGAAGTTATTATGAGTTAATGTTCAATTTTAAGTTGATTGCTATGTTGTGGGATTCTAGTCATGGTCTTATTGTTGGTTGTCACATAGTTTTACTTGTTTTCTAGATTCTTGGCCATTATCTGACCCTAGATTTTTCTTCTATTCAAAAAGTATATAATGCTTCTCATTTTACATGTAATTGCAAACTTGATTAATTCTTCATTTCAACCATGTTGTAATGGCACTTGTCATAACATGATGCTCATCACTTGTCATGTTTTGATTGATTATCTTGAGTAGTTGTATTAAATCATGCATTCAGGACTTTTTTTTTTTTGTCATTTCTAGAATCCAAAGCAAGAAGCAATATGATGAGTATAGTTTTTTTTTTGTACGTTATTGTTGGTGTAAACAACTTCGAGCCGTGGCCTCGGGGCCGACGCGGCTTGGTTCGGGTCCGAATGATGGGGGGATCTTGTTCGGCGTCCCTCTAGGTTGCCAAGGCGGTCGGTCGTGCTGATCGGGTCGCGTCGGAGCTCGCCGGGCTTCTCTGGGGGGTGGAGGTTCCTCGCCTGGGTGTTCGGGGGAAGGAGCTCCGTCTTCGTCCCTGCACACAGGTCGGGTCGGGGTGCTCGACTTGACCCCTCCGATGATCAAGTTAGTGAGTAGTCGCAGGGGGTTTCAATAGCTAAGTTGTGTCTCCTTCTCCCTCTCTTCTTCTCCTCGTTCAGGACGCGAGGGTATTTATAGGGAAGCTTACTGTTTCCTAATGTGCCCGCTTGCAGGGGGCAGGCTCGTACTCTTGGTAGCGTCCGACACTGGTGTTGGCGTGGCGTGGACGACCGGGCTTGAGCAGGACGTTAATGCGCTTCGGCCGGTGTTCTGGTCCGTTTGACCAGGTGTTGTCGGGTCGATCGAGGCGTGAGGCATCATCTAGGGCAGCTGACGTCAGCCCGAGTCTTGTCGCCATTATTATCCTCATCATATTCCCCCTCGGAAAGAAGCTATGCGTCAGGAGTCCGAGGCATGGCTTCAGCTTTCAGTATTTGTTCTCGTCGGGCGGCTACTGGTCCGTTGCCAGGGGTGCGGGTTGCGTGCGCAGCGGTGACCCTGAGTAGTGTGCGGTCGAGGAACACAACTCGGTCGAACAGGCCGAGCAGAGGCTGTGATCTCGAGCGGCGCGCGACTGAGGAGCGCGGCTTAGGCAGGCAGGCTGCGCAGAGGCAGTGGTCTCGGGGAGCATGGAGCCGAGGAGCACGACGCAGGCGGGCTGGCTGCGCAGGTGCGGTCTCGGGGAGCATGGAGCCGAGGAGCACGACGCAGGTGGGCTAGCCGCGCAGGTGTGGTCTTGGGCAACATGCGGCCGAGGAATGTGGCTCAGGCAGGCAGGCTGTGCAGGCGTATAGCTCAAGCGGGCTACGACCGAGGAGCGCGGCTTAGGCGGGCAGGCCGCGCAGAGGCAGTGGTCTTGGGGAGCATGGAGCCGAGGAGCACGACGTAGGCGGGCTGGCCGCGCAGGTGTGGTCTCGGGGAGCATGAAGCCGAGGAGCACGACGCATGCGGGCTGGTCGCGCAAGTGTGGTCTCGGGCAACATGCGGCCGAGGAATGTGGCTCAGGCGGGCAGGCCGCGCAGGCGTATAGCTCAGGCGGGCTGCGGCCGAGGAGCGCGGCTCAGGCGGGTAGGCCGCGCAGAGGCAGTGGTCTCAGGGAGCATGGAGCCGAGGAGCACGACGCAGGTGGGCTGGCCGCGCAGGTGTGGTCTCGGGGGGCATGGAGCCGAGGAGCACAACGCAGGCGGGCTGGCCGCGCAGGTGTGGTCTCGGGGAGCATGGAGCCGAGGAGCACGACGCAGGCGGGCTGGCCGCGTAGGTGTGGTCTCGGGC